TGTCAAGTGTGGCCAGTGCCAGAAAGGAGATTAAGACCAAGAAGAAAGCTTCAAAGGATGTCGACAGTGAGGAAGAAACTGTAAGAACACAAGGACGAGGCGGGTGCAGCGATCCAGCCCGACCAAAGAAAACTGTAAGAACACAAGGAGGACGGTGGTGCAGCGATCCAGCCCGACCAAGAAAAAATGTGAAAACAAAGTGCCAATCCTGGGAACAAACAAGGTGGATCTATAAAAAATCCATACAAAGCGGACCAATCTGGCTGGCTTCCTTGTGGCGAGTGCAACAATTTAGCTGGTGGTGCATTTAAATGCATTCGGTGCGAAAAGTATATGCATAAAGTTTGTGGAAGGATCATTCCAGAAAGTGAAATGCGGCCTGGAGAGAAAAATGGAAGATTGTGTACTCCATGCTCAAATGAATCTATGGATCTGACTGCAGATGTGTAGATTATGCAATGACCCAAAGATCAATCTATATATAATCGCCATGGCTCTATAGATATAATCTTATACATAATATATATATGTGTGTCTATAGTGGATGATCCATGCAGGCAATAATATATATAGAGCTCAATTGAGGGCGGGAGGGCATGATTGCATGATCGATGCATGAACCCAATATAATAATAAGGCAATAAGCATGCATGCATGCTGCATGCATGCAATCATGCGAGTGCATGCATGTCGATCGTGCAAGCAGGGCAACATGCATTGGGGTTTGAATGCATGAGTGTGATGGTGACGTTAAGCTTGTGTTCAGTTTGGGGTTATGGATGTGTTGGAATTTCTGTTTTGGGATTGTTAAAATATGTAAAACATTAACACTATTGTTAAAATGGTGTTTATCTATTGCCAAATTAAGGATTTTTAACACTTGTGTCAACGTGGTGGTAAAAGATGTGTCCTTATTTCCAATTTTAACTCTCTGTTAAAATGACCATCAAATATGTGGAATTGGATAATTATTGTGTTAAGATTTCTATTTTCACACAAACTTGACCAATATTCGAGCCTTAGTGTGGTCCTCAGGACGCGCCTTGGTTTTTTGCTTGGTCACTGGTCCCTCAATTTTCCACGCCACGATCTATCGACCGACAGCTCCAAACGGTAGGATACCAGTAACGAACAGATCCAGCAACGGCAATACATACATCATCAGAAGCGGATCAAGGAAGGATCAAGGGTCTATTACCATACTAGCTAGTGAAGCGGATGGTGTAGCATTGAGAACCGGGTCCTTGGTAAAGGACAGTCACACGCATCGTTACTTGCTACGGTACTTGCTAGGTAGCTCGCTAGAGTCGAGACCATCTATCTATTATCCTGAGTTCTGTTCTGGCCAATCTTCGTGTATACCCTTTTCGGAATCAATCGTCAATCATCCATCTGAAGAAGTTTAAAAAAAGAAAGAAAGATGAGCTCTACTAGTATGCCCACCAGCAATGGTGATGATAATAACATGGACGATGATGATGATGATGGCTCTAATAATGTGATTATCTGTTCGTCCGAGTTTCTGACGGACGATGTGGGAGACGAACAAGTCCGTGCACTGGCGGCCGCGTTGGCACCGCAGATTCGTGAATTGGAAAATTTGATGGACGATCCTCTGTTTCGGTCGTCTCATGATGATGACGATAATAAGGATAATGATCATGATCCCGTCAATACGAAAGAGTCGACTACGCCACAACCACAGAAACCACGTGATTCCAAAGTGGTCATTTCGGACGATGATGAAGACGATGAAGCACAAACTCCCAAGAAACCAAACGCAGCACAACCAGCGGATGATACTACTACTATGATTAGAGATGATGATGATGACAGTGAAGCCATGATGGAAGGATTGGATGACGATGATATGGATCAAGAATTGGAACAATTAGCATTTGCCGAAGATATTTTGAGACGAGAACTCGATTTGGCCAAGGAATTTGCGTCTTTCTTTGGTTCTTCTCCCACACCTAGTTTGTTTTCCAGTTCGCCCGATCCCAGTGGTGCTCTCGCTGGAGGATTCCGCAATATGACTTTGGATTTCACTACCAGTACTACTGCTACGTCTGCAGGGATTGCTCCCACCAGTCTATTCCATACGGCCGTTAGTGCACCCGATTTGACCACTGTCAAGTCCAAACCGGTTGTGGTTACCCAAAAAACAGAGGAATCACAGCTACCCATGGATACTACTGCTACCAGCAACAGCAACAACAACCCACAAGCAACAGTCAGTCCACCTTCCTCTCTTCAGCAGCCTTCAGCAGCAGCAGCTCCCGTCGTTATTCAACAAATGGAAGCCGATTTGGATGGAGATGAAGACGACCCGGACATGCTCGTCGAACAACAAGACGCCAGTACCAAAGAATTAAAAGAAAACAATACATCCTCCAAATTCGATCCCAAATTGACACAACAGGAAACATTACATTTTGATGCCGAAGCCATGGAACATATTATTAGCAATCATCATCATCAATCGATTGGAAGTATTACACTCGATACGGTAGGAACGGCGCTGCAGTCTGCCAAGGATGCCGTGGCAGAAACAAACAACAACAACAACAGCACGAACCAACAGCAACAAACTACAACAACAACAACTGTGCCACAAGAACCACCCAAAGAACCAGCGACTACTGTCGACCACCCAAAGAGCAATCCTGCCGTACCACCAACCCAATCTTCTTCTTCTTCTTCCAACAACAAGAACAATACTAATAAGCACAGCAACAACAACAATAACAAATACGCCACACCGCGGAGACGTCGTCATCATGATCTACAGGAACAAACACCCGCCACACCACAAACGTCCATTGTGCTTTGGAAGGCTCCTCAGTACAATTATACTTCCAATGATCATTTCAAATCACTACTCATCTGCAAGGAACCACAAGGGGCTTGGTATTCCGTAGATCTTACGGCACATCTCTTGGTACAACAACAACAACAGCACAGTGGTAGTGTATCCGATACCGGTAGTACTACTACTTCACTGACCGAACACAACAACAACAACAATATCCCATCGACGGTCGGAATTGGAATCAAAGAGTATTGTCTCAGTATCACACAGTGGAAACGACTCTTTGTGGGACTCCGGGTAGAAGGAGACGAAGAAAAACAGCAAATCAGACGGCAACAGAAGCTACAACAACAAACTACTACTACTGGACAACAACCGCCATCGACACCGCAGCACACTTTATTGGATACGAGTAGTAGTATCCAACAACCGACGTCTCCTCCATCCTCGAACAAACACAGAGCAAATGATCCGTCCTCTCCAGCTCCGCATCATGACGATGTACCTCACCGAAAAGCACCCGTGCGAACCATTTCCATTCGCATTCGGCCCGATGTACTCTGTGGAGCCGTCATGGATGCCGTCACACAAACACTCGTCAATTGTCCCCATGCGTCCATTATCAAGCGACAAGGAGGACACCTACAGGCTACCGTCAGAGGACAAGTCATACCACCACCAACGCAGGCCAATAATAATATGCAGGGTTCACCCAATGTTTCCATGGACTCCACTGCCACACCGCGCCGATCGTCGTCGTCCGTCACGTCGATTCGGGAATACACCTTTTTTGTCGATGCCCAGTTGTGCACACACAAGAGTCCTGCCTGTGAACGAGTCTTGCTCTTGCGTATATTCCACTGGGGAAAGGAAGATCAAGATGCCACGGAAGAAGGAGACTTGTGGTCACCCTCGTCGTCCAATAACAACAACAACGTTGTTGACAGCAATAATCCATTTGCACAACCATCCGATGAACAACAATTCTTGATTGATGGCGAACAATTCAATAGCAATTTCCCACAATCCCCCAACTCGACAATGCAACAGCATCAACAAGCCCATCAAGCCAATCGACACTTGCGTGAAGCGTGTGCACTGATTCAACGAATCGAATCGCCCGAGTTGGCACGCAAAATGCGACCGCTGGTGCACAAGACGACACCCACACAAGCGGCGGCAGCCGAATTACGAGATTTGATTTCCGAGCATTTGCTTCACAACTATCGTGCGTGTCCGTCGGTATTGCGACCCGATACGACAATTACGCTTCCCGCACTTTCGCCGCACGACTGGCCCATTATTCAAGCGGCGTGGGGTTGGATTCAGTCCGTGTGGGATGAACTGGAAACCAGAGAGTTGACCTATCTGTCCTTCTTGCCCATGTTGTCGTGGATGACCATGATGCCCCCTGCCGTGGCGGAAGCTGACGGAATAACACAAGACGAATTTACTACTCCACCGGATCATGATTCGCCGACTCCAGTGTTGTCATTGGCCCCTCCTGTACCAAGGTTTGGAGCCTTTCCGGCTTTGCCAACATTGGATGTTCAATATTGCTCTCAGTTAAGAAGATTGTCTCGAGAATCCATGATTGGCCAATTACTCAAGGCGGCTTCTGTGCTGGAAGACTACGCACGACAAGCAGAATATCAATGCGCCAACTTGATTGATCTCTTGCGGCCGACGTTTGCCTATTACGGAGTGGACACACCGTCGCTGCCCAAGCCAGCACCCCTATCAGCCTATCCGCTGGAGTACACACCGCCTCAATCGTTGTGCCCTCCGTGGGGAATGAAGGTCATGGAAGCTATGAACCAAGTGACGGCCATGAGTCACCAGCAGAATGCCATGCAAGAAGAACCGCAAGACCCCGAAAGCATGCAGTCGCATCAACAGCAGCAGGCCCTAGAATCGCTTGCGATGGCAGAGACAGCCGTGCAGATGGTCTATGATGCATTCCAGGAGCAAGACGACGAAGAACATAGCGCTCGACTGGCCCGCAAAAATTTGCAGGTCATGGATCGGTTGGCCAAGATGCAGGAACACAATCGCGCGTCGATTCATGCTTTGAGCATCAGTATCCCCACCAGCGGTGCCGCGAAAGCTGCTGCGGACGAGTTTTTTGCCAAGGCTGGAAATGGCATTATTGGATTGTTGCATGCCAAGAATGGCACCAGAGGAGCACCGCTGGCAGAACGAGAGGGTTTGAGAACAAGTGTTCACGCTCCACCGTTCCGGGAAGTCCCTTTGATGAAGTGGACTATGGGCGTTGGTGGTTCGTCTGGCACTTGCACCATCACTGCGAATCAGATCCTGTTCACCCCTGCCAAGCTGATCCCTTTGTTGAGCCATAGTCAGTCGACTTGGTTTCATATGGCAGATGTGGAGTTCGGAATCGTCACTACTCCCCCAACGTTGTTGAATCCACTGTCGACAATGATTCAAGTCTTGGACGCCAGCACGGGAACTCCCGTGTACAGTTTCAAACCATCTTCCGCGGGACCTCGTTTGAAGAGTTTCTTGGACATCGTCCAGAAGGAAAGTGCGGAGGCGATGGCCGCCAATGTGAGGGTAAACCAGGAGTTACAAGAGCAGGCGGAGTTGGACCTAACCATGTAGACACCAACAAATTTGGTTGACCGAGTGGTCTTGCTTTGAGAATCTCGTTGGTATGTGTTTTGGTTCCAGCGTCGCTTCTCCCTCTAGTAGGAGAAACTGAATGTGCGTTCCTCCTGTACTAGCTAGAGGAGGGAGCCCGGCGGCAAAAGTATCATGAACTACTAGTAGTCGTTCAACCATGCACTAATCACGGCATTGCTTTTGGTTGTGGCCTGGGCTATGATCCTCCTTGGCGTGTGACTACTAGTTCCATTTCTAGCCACGGTATCTATGCACCACTAGCTAGCAAAGCAACCCAAGCCGTGATATACTGTTTGGTGCTGCATGCATGGCTGGGTCCCCGACTCGTCGTCTCCTTGTGCAACAAAGCAACAACAACGACCTGGCTAACGCAATGGGCAAAAACAACGTTTTAGAATTTATCCATGATATCGATGGTGAGCATTTGCTTAGGGTTTGCGTATAACCATCACAGCTTCTCAGGCATAGGCGCATCCAAGGGGGTAAGAGCTCATAGAGTTTGATGTGGTCAGAACTGCTGTATGGGCCCAGCACTCCGTCTGGATTGCGATCCAAGTGGTTAGGGTTTGCGTATAAGCATCGCATACGAGGTCTTGATCAGTGACTCAGGAATAGGCGCGTCCAAGGGGGGTAAGACCTCATACAGTTTGATGTGGTCAGAACTGCTGTATGGGCGGGGCAGCACTCCGTCTGGATTGCGATCCAAGATGCCATGACCAGCTCCAAACTGAGCGGGGAAGGGACTGTATCCTTTAGCGATTGCTTTTTCCTTTAGCGCTTCAAAATCTCGCTTTCTCCAAACCGATTCTCCTTTCATTTGTTTCGTTGCATTGTTAGATGATAGATTAAATTCAACCGAATGAAACGCCACTCCGCCAGGCTTCAACAGATCTAGAGTGTGAAGAACAACATTCTGCCCTAGCTCGATGGATCCCACGTGCTCAATCGAACATAGACTCCAAATGAAATCGAATTTCTCTTGTTGGAGAAGCCAGTCCGAGAATGAATTCATATTCTCAGGGTGGTATGTTACGAGTTCCTTGAAGGTCTTTTTGCTTACTCCCTTGTAGTTTTTCCTATACAAACTCTCGATTGTTGCCACATGTTGACCTGTGTTCGCCCACGCTTTCGCAAATGCTGGATCATCGTCGACTGGTAGGTCTGTTGCCAGAATGGAGCAACCCATTGAAGCAAAGACCTGTGGGAGTTTTTCAGTTCCAACGGCAAGTACCAAACCTCTCTTTCCGGGCTCGCATAGATTGAGAGTCTTGACGACATGCAGCACGTAGGCGACCTCCCACTGTTTACGGTTATTACGAGGTTTTTCACCGATCAAGCCAATACTTTCTAGAAACCACGGCGAGCTGAACTCGCGTTGTGTTACCATTTTGCAGGAGATTTCATCCGTCGTTTCTCCATCGAAGATAGGAAGAATCTTGGGCACACTAGAGCCCACCCGCAAGCCTGTCACCTGCAAGCTTGTGGACTGGGGAGAGCTATCGAGCGAAAAAGCATACAAAAGAGGAGAGAGGACGAGGACTGCAGCAAAACCGAAGCACCTTTTCTTCAAAACAGCCGCTTTCGTCATGTCTCGTTTCGAGACGTCGACGGTTTTCAGCAACGTTTTGTTCATGCTGCTCTTTTCACTTCTTGTCTCGCCCTCACGCAGGAAAAATCACAGGTTTGTTATCGTACTGCAACAGCTGTTGATGTATGTAAAAGACAAGAGAAAAGTGGGTACTTGGTGGTTGTTCCCTTGTTGGTGACCGACTCGACTCGACTCGACTCGACTCATCCAAGCAATGCTGGATGTCGGCGCCAATGCCAACGCCGGATGAGCCGGCACAGGGTGAAATTGTCACATGTTTCTGGTGCACGCCACCTTGTTGCGCTGAGCAGGATTGAAGCGAAGTGTGACAATGCGCGTTAACTCCTACCCTAGTGGTATAGTCTGGCCTTCATGCTGGATTTTGTCACAAGAGGATACTAGTACTGCAGCTACCGGTAGTGCTAGCTATGATAGCAACTAGTCTAGCTAGTACGGTAGCGGTACCGGTACCGGTATTGTATGGTGCCGTTGTCCTCCCTCCTCCTTCGCGCAGTGATGCATCCTTGCTTGGGAAACAGGGCTCACTCACCGTAGTACTGTACGTATCCATGCCGGTGGCACCCCACCAAGCATGAGCAACCAAGTGTGGTCATCACAGCGGAGCACACAAGCTGCTTCAAAAGCAATTAACAATGAAGAAGAATCGTCGAAACGCAAAGAAAGGAGGGAGAAAGGAGAGGAGAAAAAATGCCGTGGAACAGATGACACCAAAATGCCAACATGGAGCCCCTAGCACACTGCCACCACCGCATGTTCTGTTTGTCCAATTGGGTTTCTACAAAGCGATTGCTGCATCCATGGCAGAGTCCGAAACAGAGGATGATGATTTGAAAATACTGCAATCTGAAGCTGCATCCTACCTATCGTCTTCTCGTTCCATATTTTTTAGTTAAACCAACACAACAAGAGCTACGCAGCAGTGCACTGCCATTCGGCTGGCGCATCCCATGGGCCTCCGTTTATTGCACACTTGCAATCGAATCACGTGTGAGCATTGCCTGTTGTAGCCTTTTGCATGTGCCCCCGGGCAGATCTGTCGCTCGTCCCAAGATACGGTAGTAGTCGTAGAACCCGATGCAATATAGTCTTGGCCAGCGGTCTCTTTGTTCACGAGCGAAGAATAACTGCTTTGTGCGTACGGTACGTGGATGACCCGTTTAGAGCTGAAGCTCCAATCTCGTAAGCCTCCTGAAGCCAGCATAGTCTCACAATGAGCTGCAGCAATTCTGTGCGTGGGACCGTAGCAGCTTTTCCGGACTGGCACCTAAATGAAACTTGAACCAACCGTGGCGATGGAGAGAAAGGAAGTTGCCCGTCTCTTCCATCCCGAAAAAAGACTTTTTCCATCTTGAATTCAGCAGCTTTGTTCAAAGGGCCATGTTGTTGTGTAATCATGGAATTGGTTGTTGATGAGAGGAAGGTCTGTAGTAATGCCGCACCAAACCCACCATCAATCGCCTTGATCTCATAGAACTACTACTCTACTAGTACAGTACCCACTACTACTGGCTACTAGCCTAGTAGCCAGCACCCACAGCGGAACCAGAGGGTTTGGTCAAAAGACCAAAAACCTCTACTGTACTTCGGCGTCTGTCCCCGGTACTCAATGGTAGCTCCGGTACTACTAGAGCTAGCTAGGCGGCAGCGTTTGTTGGACCACAGACATTTTTTGTAGTTTGCACGCTTCCACGATGCGCTGGTTGCCCCGATGGCCTGGGTCACGGAAGAAGATTCAAACAAGTGTGCGATCATTGATGACAGAGAACAACAAAAGTGAAAAGATTCAACGTCACCGCTTCCAACGTTGAGTCGGCTGAGTCCACAATGAGAAACGGCTGTTATCACTTCAACAACCTTGACGCTACCGGTACAGAACGACGGCTACCCTTCACAGCTGCTGCCATCACTATCATACTTTCACAGGGCTGCTTCATCGGACACTTACAGATTCGATTGAGATTCAGGCTACACTGTTCCATAGCTCACAGGTCGTTCTATAATCTACCATATCTATTGAAAGAGTCTGTGCCTTTGTTAGTGGAAGCAACGGTCGAATTGAAGAAGAAACCTCCAAATTCTGTGAAACCGTTGGATCATCCATCTAACTCAAGTCAAATATAACCCAAGTCAAATCAGTCTATCCACCATGAGCATGACGCCCCGGTACGCCGCGGACCTGATGTTGGAGCCGTCGGTTCAGGAGAAGGATCATTCTTTGGTGTTTACCAACTTTTTGTTGCGTCAGATTGCCGTGTTGGACGAACAGGGTGCCTGGGAATGGAGTCTTCGATGGCATTCCTTCTACTGGTTCCTCGTCTTTGCCGTCATTCGACTCGTCATGAGAAAACGAGGCGGAGTCGATTGGTATGCTCTGACGCATGGTGCTGTTACCGGAATTGGGGGATTGGCATGTGCCTATCTCAGCTTTGTGTCGGCTGAATCACTCACAGGGACTCCAGGTAAGTACCTATTACTCTTTGTCTTGTCATCCTGATAATATGTGTGCATACCCAAGATGTCTGATTCTCTATTTGTTTCTTTGTATGATATTATTATTATACTTATACTTATTATTTCTGATAGAACCCCTTGGCTCGGTACTCTGCCACGGTCCCTTGACGAGTCTGCATCGGATTCTACCCACGGCCAGTGTCGGATATTCCGTCTTTGATCTCATTGATGGAATTCATATGGGACCCGCATTTATAGCGCATGGCTGTGCCATGTTTTTGTTTTCATTCTACATTGTAGAAGTCAACATGCCACAAGTCCTTGCCGTCATGTTGGCATTGGAGGTAAGTACAGAACATGTAGCAATCCAGCAAGACAACACCACACGCTCCAGTGTTTGCTGATTATCTGTTCTGTCTCTCTCTCTGTGTTTCTCTATTCTCTTATTCTCATTGAATGATATACACAACAACCAACGTACACACATTTACAAACAAACAATCCACGTTGTACCACAAATCCATGGACCCATGCATGACATCATACCGACCAAAACGACCACATACATTGCTACTGCACATGTACATCCGATAGTTCTCGACCATCTTTTTGAATTTCGTACGATGCGAGTTTTTTACTCCCGCCATGGCCATGGCCAACATGCTGCTATTCGTCGTGGCATTTTTCGCCGTACGCATCGTATACGGACCCTACGCCATTTATCAACACTCTTACTACCTGTACACTGCGGGAAGAACCAATGAGGCATCCGCATGCTTGCCGACGGGATTTGATCATGTCATTTTCATCACGGGCATGTTCTTTAACGTGCTCAATGCCTTTTGGTTCTACAAGATTCTGAAAAAGTTGCAACGAAAACTAAACGGAACGGAAGGCATCAAGGCATCCAATGAATTGGGGCCCGCCAAGGATAAAAAGGAACAGGATTGATTGAATGGATGATTGATTGATTTGATACAGAGCAAGCCATTACCGAACAGGACAGTGTAGTACAGAGCTGTACAAATAAATGCAAAAGGAAAGCAAAAATTACCCCTGGAATTAAGGAAGACGTGGAAGGAAGACGTACGCACCGGTGTGCAGCGACGCTCTTCTTCTTCTTGTACCAATCCCGACGAACAAAGAAAGAAAGAAACAGCAACAACAGCAACAAATCAAAGCTATAATAGCTAGCATGTATGCAATGGATAAGCAATCATAGACAGCAGCAAGCAACAGCCATTCTGTTTCTTGGTTCGTGTAGATTAGTAATAACGCTGTCGTCGCAGTCCACTTCCGATTCGATACGGCATTGGGTGGTAATGCATGCACGAAAAGCACAGGACGCTTTTCTCCTGTCAACAACACAACCTCACCGTTTACTCAGCATTTATTGAAGTAACACGAGTGCTCGTGGGTCTTGGCCATGGCCAACTTGGAAGAAGTCCTGTCGAGAGTTCGGCGAAACAAGTAAGTAGCTAGTATCAAGATACCGTACACACGTTCACAATCAACCGTGATGGTCTAGTTTATTATTTCACAGGGCAAGGTACAGAGGACACCCGAGTTCCGGCGCTGTAGAGGCTCAGGATGGCTTTTTCTTCACCGCTCTGCCTGTCTCGCTAGCTTTCTGTTTACCCGGCGAGGCTGCATTCGCAAACTGCCATGCAAGAAGAGGGCAGCCTTCACCGCTCTATTTTAACGTTGTACAAAGGTGCTTTAGCACAATGCCAAGCAAGTGCCCCGTCTTCATAATATGATCACAAGAACAGTCATCATTGAATGGGGCACACCGTTGGAAAACCTGTGTAATACCTGTCATCCAGCCAGCACTGTTGGTTGAATAATCGGATCGTTGTCTCGTGTCCTTCGATTGCTACGATGTACGGGTATATGCATGTACTGCAATGTACGAGCGACTAAAGGTTTCCTTTGGCTCTGGTTTGGTTGATGTTGCTTAAGAGTTACTGGTTGGCTGGGCACTTTGCTTTCCCGCTCGCCTTGGAAAGAAAGAAGTCAAGCTTGCAAGGAACCCCCCAGATTTGGGCTTCGAGTAACGAAGCAATGCCGTATTCTTCTTTCTGTTCTTCTGTCTTCTCCTTCTGCTTGAGTTATTGTTGCAGCTTTCGTTTTCAGTCTCTGTGCCATCATCCGGTGTATCCAGAACAACAAATGTGTATTCGGGGCATTCATTGAGCCGAACGGCCACCTGAGCAGCGTTCTTGCCTTTGCAGGTTCTTCCCCCAATGTTCAAAATCGTATTCCCTGGAGCCAACTTTTCATCACTCGCGGCTGGCTTTGAAGGGTCCACCTTGGCAATCACTACCGTGCCCTGCTGCGCGTCCATCACCCATATGCCCCATTTTCGCGCGTAGCCACCTTTCTCACTGGCAAGGGGGAAAATCTGATTTCGCCTTCTCCTCCTTGTGCTCATCGTCTTAGCGGGCATGGTTGCTATCTTGCTGATGATTCTCTGATGATGTTTTAGTTTGTTTTTGTAGTATTTGATCTTTATGAGCTCGCAGTGCAGATTCCCAGCAGGTAAAATCTGTCTGGCTACATGTTTAAAAATGTTAAATGTAGCTACCGTAGCAATGTCATACGTGCTGGCTTGCTGGCCACGGGCTAGCTTGCACGACTGTGGGAGTTTTTGCTACCAACTTCAACTACAAATGCAATAGGATTTAGAAAGTGTTGAAGCAACAACAAGCGGGTGTCGAAGCAACAACAACCAGGTGTAGAATGTTGGCGAGGCTGACCAGTGTACCGGTTCGCAGAACATTAACTTAGGAGTTACAAAGTCCCTGGAGGGATTAAGTTCTATAATCAGATTTGAAAACGGTATGTGATGGCCTCTTGCTAGGGCCATCCTGTAACCGTTTGGGGGTATAAAGAGGGATTGTGTAAGCATGAATCGTCTTGACATGTAGATTGTTTACTGCGGAACACCCTGCCAAAGGATGGAAGAAGTTAGTTGTTTGACAAGACAGCAATGCGGGGCGACCTAGCATTATGCAGGTCGGCTTAGTGAATGGCCAAGTTTCTCCTGGGGGGATCCGCCATCAAACGTAGTAGCTACCGAGCTGCTTGGGATGAGGGCAGCTTGTCTACGCTCATCGCAACATCGTAGACAGGATGGGTCAAGTGTGGTTCTCCAGCATAGTCGGGGATGGATTGTCTCGTCAATTGAAAACCAACGTTCTTGGGATCTGGATTCTTCAAAAAGTCATTCCTGCGGGAGAAAGACATGGGACATGGGGGTGGAGTTGTGGCCAGCAGTAAGCATTGGTCGTCCGGCTGCTGGGTTTGAATAGATATTGAGGTTGATGTAGGAAGGGTTGGCAGTGGAAGGATACATCATCCATTCTGGGAAAGTAGCTAAGGCCCTTCCCCCGTTTCCGTTGCACCGCGTCATCTTTAAGAGCGATAATCACTGGAGGAACAACTATTATTCCCTCCACCTCTTCCACAGGGATGCCTTGTCTCTGGGACAGTGCTTCGGCCAACCATCCCCAGTGTTCTCGAGTGTAGGCTTCCACGCTTGCTTTTGGTCAGTTGCCACTTTTGTGTTCACGGTGGCCGCCATGAAATGTGCCACACTCGCAAAATTGAGCGCGGAGAAAGTATCGCGATCGTAGTAGCAACTATAGGAAGCTTGTATCGTGACAGGGAGTAGTGATTTGACATAAGTGCAACCCACTTACACACAAGAGTTCCTTGTCCAACTACAGCTACCAGTAGCACAGAGAGTAGGTATTGCCAACACTAACTAGCCCCACACTCGACCGGGTGCAATAGTGTTGGGCTCACTGCTGTAAGCAAGAACGGGCGTACCTTGGGGCAGCTTTGCGAAGAGAGCTGTGCCCCATTGACTTGACTAGTAAAAACGGAAAAGACGAACAAGGAATTGGAGAATCCTTATGTATTTTGTTGTGGATGGTCTTTTGGATTTGGATGGGTGGCGCTTGTTACAAGTGTTCAAGTGCAAGGTACAGCACGTTATAATAGTAAAGCGAGCTGGCGCTGTTAGGAAGTACCGTACGGTACCGGTACCCGGTACCAGTACTAGTACTACCCAGATTAAAACCGGCTCGGCCAGTCCCCAAACTTCAAGTGTGATTGGAACTGTGAACGGCTCCACTTCCAGTCAGGCTTGCTTGTCGGCTAGGACAACAAAGGAGGCTCACAATCTCACAATCCAAAACTGCTATAAAAACAAGCAACAATCTAAAAAAATCTGTAATAACATCATGATCCTCTATTATGGAGCTACTACTTTGTCCTTCATGCTCAAAGGAGTGTACAACACATGCAAACGAACTATCGAAAATCGCAAGGCACGAAAGCAAGGAAACATCGTTGAGGAGGTAGAGCCAGTGCCAGTGCCGGTGCCTGTCCCTGTAGTCATTGGATCCTCAAAGAAAGAACTCCCTGAAGAAATTGAAGCGCAAGACATCTTTGCCCGAGTATCTGTAAAGCCCGGCAAGAAGAACAGGGACAAGGCACTCGCACAACATCTATCCAGTGCCCTGCAAGCACAACTTTCCTCGGCACATGGGCCCTTGGCTACAAGAGTGGATACAGCCAAAGTTATTCTGGAGGTGAAAATAACTGCTGCGTCCACTGGAAGCAAGAAAGAAATGGCTGCTACATTAGAACTTGAATTTTCAATCTACAAACCCACCCAAAATGGTCGAATAGAATACAAAAGTGGCTATGGCAGCTACGTTGATCTGCGTGAGGGATCTGGCAAAGATTCACTGATTGTCATTCTTCCAGAAATGGCCCATAAACTGCTTCAGCAGGTGCTCTAAGAAATGTTCCATAAAGGTTCAACCTCGTCATAGTGTCCAGGCTGTTTTCAGTTATTAGTAGTAAGCTCCACATAATGCATTGCATAATGCAATAAGTTGCTTTGTTCCTCCAAATCAATCCATTACTCATAGCCCCCCCCCCCCTAGCTTTAAGCCTTGACCATAGGCAAAGAAGAAACCACTACTGGTTACTAGTGGACAACCCCATCCTCGCGTTTTGGTCCACCTACTTGCAGCCATGATCAGGATCCGTGCTTTGTAGAAGCCATTGTGTTTGTGACATGAAAAGTCATTTGCCGTCCTTTACAATAAACCAACTTCAGGCATTGCAGTTGAATCGCGAGCAAGGATTTGAGTTCCACTGCACACTCTATAGTTCATACGATTTTAGCAAAAAGTGACTGAATTCAGTAGGTTTTACTCATGATCAGCACAAACTGCCGAATCGCTAAAACACGAGTTTTCACTCTGTGGTAACTTTTCGGTTGTTTGACTTTTCATCCCACCAAAATTGCTGCTACCAAGATTGCCATTAGCACTCCTGAGTCTACCACCAAGGCCAATGGCAATGGAGACCATATTGCATCTTTCTGCCATGAAATGAGCAACTGTTTGGATTGCATAGCAGCCAAGCAGCTGTGTTTGGACTGCTGGTTCTTGTGAGGAAGAATACGTTGCTGATGACGCTGATTGCTTCAGTGAAGCCTTCTATCATGATCCCTTTGCAACCAAGGAAGACATTTGTCAACATGCCAAGGACTATGCTGTCAATGAGGCTACATGTCAGGCTGCAAGTACTTCTTGTGGGACTGTACCATTACTACAAATGCTCGATGGAATCAACTGCTCTTGGTACATTGACCCCAGGGACAACACCAACGGATGGTGTGATGTAGGTGGATGTGATATGTTTGGAAACTGTGGATCCACTGCTTATGATGCTGAAGATTCTGCAAAGAAACCTAGCAGTGTTCGTGGAGGCCAGCCTGCGTCCTCCCCAAAAACAAGGGAGGAAGTCTCTTCAGGAGCCCTAGAGCAAGATGCAGCAGGCAGCAATAAGAACGATTAGAATACAGGATCATAGGCAAAGATAACAACTGACGGAGTCAAACCAAAGTTTTCAATGCTGTGTGTGAGTGCTCCCAGCTACGCTGTGAATGGATACTATCATAGCACGAAGCCACTTGGGACTAAAACCGCACAAGCTTGGGAGCATGGTTTGATCACAGCTTCTACATCTGTGACTACTCGGTTCTTCCTATTTCATTACGTACCCTAACGGGCGTGCGTCGAGTATCCATCTGCATCTGCTGTTGGTTGTTTTTCGATTGCTCGTCTCTTCGTCTCTAGGTTCGCTGAGTAGCTACTAGCTATAGCTATCTATTCACTAATCAACGACCGAAGTCGCGAGGCTCCATTGGCGCCGCTGACGGGTTCGCTGAACTTGTCGACTTGACCATTGGGGCTGCTGCCATTGGTTGTTGCTGCTTGTAGCGCTTCCGCCTCACCTTCGCCGTATCCCGTGGGGTAGGGTGCACCAGGCACATTTTGTTGGTACACACCATTGTCGCCTGGTTTAAAGGTGACAATTTCATTACACCAGTTGCCAATTCGTTCACTGTAGGCTTGCATGGGCAACACGGTAAAGGGTTCTTCCAGTTGCGTGGCCAATTCCTCAATACCAAACAAAAACAAACTCAATGTAAAAGTGACGGGAATCACAGCCAAGTGATTCCAAGAGGATGCCAATGGTTGATACAAGCCCAATGGCAAGAGGAGCAACCAGAATCCCAAGAATCTGGCCGTGTGTCGCGAATAAAACAAGGGCACGGGCGAAGTCAACAAACGTTCACTGGACCCGAGATTGTCTTCGAAAATGGTGACGGCTTGATGGATTTCATTTTTACGCAAAAAGTGCATGGGGAGATTTTCAATGGCCAAACTTAAATCAAAGAGAGCGCGGTTGGGACGATGTGCGGCATTGATAATGGCTTCGGCCTGAACGGCAGGCAATCTCTCGTACAGTTCCCTTTTGAAGTCTTCCTCGTCTTCCTTTTCCGGACTCAAATGACGTTTCATGGCTCGGACAAAGGACCAGGTGGCGAGTGCAACGTTTTTCAAGTCCTGTTCTCGTCGTTCATCACTGACCCCTTCTCGATCGTAGTAGGCATTGGCGAGACGCACAAGATCACGGGTGTGGTTGATGTTCATTCCCCAGTTTTTACGCGCTTCATCCCAACGTTTGTAACTGGTGTTGGTACGGAAGACTATTATAAGGTGTGTTATGAGATGGATAACGGTAGAGTTGAACAGTGATGGAAGTTTGGTTGGTAGAAAAACAGGCAGTGGATGTGAGAATACATGTGAGCTTTCAAAATGACAAACATCAGACACTCCTCATCCAAAGCTGCCCTCAAGCAAGCAAGCAAGCATCTCCTACATGTGATTTCTTACCCAACAAGAGTCCCAGACTTGGACTGGACAAAGTGAAGGGTGCCAATGGGAGTCCAATGACGGGCAAAAAGGGTGCGATAGGGTCCATTTTGGTTCCATCCAATCCATCAAATCCACCAGCGACTCCATTATAGAGAATGACAAAGGTAGCCACTCCCACGGTGGCCAAGATTTCCTTTCCAACGCTCTTGTAGATACCGGACGACGTGACGGCATTCAGATTGCGCCAAAATCGATCGGGAGAGCGAAAGTTGACCCAATCGTCGTGGGTAAAAATAGTACGACGGTATTTGCGCGATTCTTCTCCGTAGGAAATGTCTCGAGGAGGGGGTAACTTGGGAGGATCCACGGTGTTGCCCATGGCCAGTTCTGTCTTTAGAGACGCACGTTGCTGGATGCTGTTGGGGCTGAACGCACTGGCGCCTCCCACCACCAAAAGGAGTGTTGCCGCAAGGGCTGACAATTTGGGTAGCATCATCATGAGATTCCCTTTTTAAATGTTTCAATCTCGATCTTGTGATACCAACTACTTAGCTACTAGTAGTAGCAATTGGAATCCTTTGCTTTCCAACCAAAGACAGATGAGCGTTTCAACCATCGAGCCAAGCCAAGGAAGATCCCATGCCACTTCATTCTCACGTGATGCTTTCGTCTACACGAGAAAGAAGCAATGATGTTAGTTCTTTCTCGGCTCGGAGTGCGTACTCGGGGAAAGATTTCAGGTCGATGACGTCAGTCTTTCAAGAAAAGATTGGCTAGCTCCAACCTTACTGAGCTAGCCACCGGTACAAGAAATCGAGAGGGGACGGCAGTGTTGAGAGCTCAGTTTTAGGAGAAGAGCTGCCTGCAAAGGGCTCCCTCCGAACATTATCATAGGGCTGTGAATAATACAAATGAGAGACCAGTCTTGGGGGCAAAGTGCAGGGCCTGAGGATGACCCACAAACCAAAATGATGCAGGCTGATAAATCACTGCCACTGTAACGAGGCTCTGGGTTCAGAATGTGAAGTACAATAATCTCAGCTGGAGGCTAACTATGCCACTGTGGAAGCATTGAATGTGTGGAAGGACTTGGGATGGGACAATGAGACTTAGATAATGGACAAAAAGTGGGAACCATTCTGATCCGAGCAAACGAATGGATACCGGTGTTTCAGTCGCCGTGGGTCGTTCTTTTCTTCACTGGGCTCTGTGCTAGTTTGGAATGGATTTGATTGATTCGCAAGCGATAGGGAAGAAGAGAAACAAACAATATCTATATGTTGTCTCCTCTTGATTCAATTTCTAACCTTACCGTAAATGATGTTAGTGTCTTTCTTCATGAGACCCAGGGCAGCCATTCACTTCGGACATCCGGGCAATTTTATATGTCCCTTCATCCTATGGACAACCGTTTCCACGAGCCCACTTTAGAATTTCCAAATGACCCTGCTCAGCAGCATACCTGCATGTAAGAGTATTCCATGGACAACCATTTTCACGAGCCCACTTCAAAACTTCCAAGTGGCCACCATGAGCAGCACGAGCACATGTCCGTTCATTCCATGGACAACCATTTTCACGAGCCCACTTCAAAACTTCCAAGTGGCCACCATGAGCAGCAAGAGCACATGTCAATTCAATCCATGGACACCCATTTTCACGAGCCCACTTCAAAACTTCCAAGTGGCCAAAATTAGCAGCACTACAGCTTGTCGCTGCATTCCACGGACAGCCAAGTTCACGGGCATATTTGAGAATTTCCAAATGACCTCTTGCAGCAGCTCTTTCACATGTCCGTTCATCCCATGGACAACCATTTTCACGAACCCACTTTAATATTTCCAAATGTCCACCCAGCGCAGCTTGCGCACAAGTCTCTGCCCCCCATGGGCAACCGTTTTTGCGAGCCCACTTCAAAATTTCCAAATGACCATTTTGAGCAGCATATTCACATGTCCATTCATTCCATCGACAACCATTCGCTCGTAACCATTGGAGCATTTCCAAATGTCCATTTTCAGCGGCTGCTTGGCATGTCCGAGCATTCCAAGGGAATCCGTGTAGGCGTGCCCATTTCATGACAGCGAGATTTCCAATTCTGGCAATTACATCGCAAACATCAAAACGGTTGGGATTCTTATTTCTGGAATTGTCCCTGAGCCAGCATTCTGCACGGGGCTCGTTACTGAATGTTTCGCTGAAAAGAGTGTCGGTGATTTCTGCAGAGCACCTGTTTATTGCTGGGATTGGTTTTACCTTTCTTGGATTTCTCTCCAGTTCAATTTTGCAGTACTCTTTGTACAGTCGATTCATCTTCTTGCTGACAGCTCCTACAAAAGCGTACTGTCCAACGCCAACAAACGATAGAATCTGGTCACTCCAAATCAATGTCGGAGGCCATAAGGGATCACTAGACCTATGCCGCAAGTAGCGCTACTTGCGGCATAGGTCTAGTGATCCCTAACGTCGAGGTGTGTGTGTGTCATTCATCGTTCATCGAATCGTCAAGGAGTTGAGGCTCGAGAATTGTTTGACAAAGACACGGCATTGGTAACACTGCCGAAGTTCAGTCTGCGTCGCGCAACTCTCAGGGCATCAACAACAACGACGATAATCAGTCGTGGTTGAGTGACGTCATCACCGATCAAGTCACTGATCGTGAGTCCAGTCACACATCGATTGAGTCCAGTCGCACATCGAGTCCAGTCGCAGTTCCGAGTCACGGTACGATTCGGAACTCCCTTTTTTTAAGAAAGTCAAGTCAAGAAGTCCCTCTCAAGTTAAGCCAAGTCAACGTCCAGTCAGTGAGGTAGTTCCTCAATAGGAGTCAACGTGAAGACATCCATCTAAGGTACAGACACAGATCTAAGGTACCATCAGCAAGTCCAGGTTAAGTTACCTGAGTGGCATCGTTTGTCAAAGAAGCCGTGCCAAGTACATTGCAAGCGTAGAAGTGTGGAGCCAAGTACAGTGCAACATCCGCAGTAACGCAATCAAGTTAAGGTCCAACAGAGTGCACCGAAGGATCTCAAGTTACTTGAAGAAGTCAACAGCAACGTGAATGGCTGAGCAAGTCAATCCAGAAAGTAGGACGTGGCAAAGAGGAAGTCGAGGTCGATTAAGAAGAATTGGTGTGACCAACCAAGAAGAGAACGTGCAAAGTGGTACGGAAGCGGGTCAAGTTGAAAATACCCCAAGTGAAACTCAAGTTGAGATTGAAGAACAAAACGACAGTATGTCTGAAACAGCCGACATTACGAAAGCAATAAACAAGCCCCCAACATTTGATGGAAGCCCGGAGAACTACATGATGTTTATGATGAGACTCCGTTCCTACTGTGCTATCCATGGGTGTTCTGAGGCGCTGTCTAAAGAGAATGATCTACCCGAGAAAGAAGTTGAAGAGTCCGGTGATACAAAAGAGCAGAAAGCTGCGAGGAAACGCAATCTACTAGCCATGTGGATTCTGCAAGTGTCCCTCACCAGTGAAATGTTGTTCGGACTTATCTTTGCGGCCATTACAGTGAACTGGCCAAGTGGGCTAGCATATCTAGTCATCCAAGGACTTGAAGAAAGATTCCGTCCCAAGGATACAGTCAGTCGAGTGGAACTCCGTTTGCAACTGTCGGCATTGTCCATGAAGAAGAAAGAAGATCCAGTTGTCCTATTCAACAGAGTCAGTGAAATCGAATGTCAATTCTGGGATCCAGTCAAGCAGACCAAGATCAACCAGTCAGAGCTCATATCAGCCGTCATTGCAGCAGCACCAGAGCAGTACCAGTCTATCATCACCGCAGAGCAGCATGTCAAAGGTGCCAACCTGAAACTGCAAGACCTATGTGATGTCATGCATCAGCACTGGAGAATGACGGAAGGAAAACGCCTGATGAGTCGAGCCAGACAGGACAGCAGTGATGAAGAGAAGGAAATGCTATTGTCGTCCCAATGCAAGTTGGATGAAGGGTGCGAGAGATGTGGCAGACAAGGTCATATCGAAGCAAACTGTTGGGACAATCCAATCAACAAGAAGAAGAAACCAAGTTGGTTCGTAGCTTCCTATGAGAGAGAAGCAACAGCAGAAGAAATCAGTGCAGGATTTGAAATACTGAGTTAGGAAGAGTCCAATGCTGCCTACATTTCTAGAAGTCGAAGAGGGGAATGAAAGCAGAAGAGGGAATCCAAAGTGAATCTACAATGTTACATGTCAAGAAGAAGAGTCAAAAGAAGAAGAGTGAGTGGTTCAGTCTAGTGGAGAAAACAGGGTGTTATAGGCGAGAGCAATCAAAGGAGAGCCAAAGGAGAGCAATCAAAGCCACTG